TTATTGGCCTGAATTGATGTCGCGCTTTAGAATTTATTGCTCTGCTAGATTCTCTCCATCTTCTTCTCCCTCTTCCTTCAGCTTCTTTTCCCGATTGACTCGAGAAGAATCACATTGTCTGTGCATTGTCTTCTGTTTGAATTGGTTTATGGCCTGGCTAACAAAGCTGCACTTAACTAGGTTGATTTCTAGAGTAGCTCCAAAAAAAACATAAAGCGATCGGACCTGAATGCTGGACAATGAAGTTGTGGGAGCTGCTTCAGAAAATCACCTTTTTCCGTCAACAGAAGAAGGCTTTATAGAAGGCTTCTTCTTTTTCACAACATAACGGACTAGCGAAGCAAATATCTGAATAGGATAAGCTTTACTATGAATGACTCCACTCTTACTTCCAACATCTTTCTTAAGACCTAATGTCATATAGAAACTTATAGCTTATTTATGTATTATGTATTATGATTTTCAACTTCTACTAATGCAGTTAGTCCATATGCAGATACTGGATTGGAGACATGATTATACGAGTATTTAGGTGGACTGAAACCAGAATATAGTAGTTTAATTCAAAGGGCATTAAACGCTCGAAGCTCTAGCTCTAGCTGACTTTCCCATCAGAGCTTTCCACAATTTAATGCTGACCTTTGTTTGGCTGCAGCTCCAATAAAAACTCTCCAAAGCCATAAAGGTAATATCACACTCTCCATTTCGCTAGCCAATAATTAAGTTAGCAGTTCATTCTCAACACTTATTTTGCTGCTATTCTCAGAGACAGTTACGACAATTCCAAATTTGGTTTGCAGAAATTGCAAGTTGAGTTTTTTCGAGTTGTTTTCGTCAAATAATAATGCAAACTTAATTTGGGACTTTCGCCGCTTTGCAGCGGTCAAAGTTAATTGCTTTATTAATTCGTCTAGCAGTTCTTTCTCTCAGTGTAGCTTTTGACAAAAATTATGTTGTTGGGGCGTAATTGTTGGCCCCGTTACGTTCAAGCCGCCCCAACTGCCAGTCGAATTGAGTTTGAGTTCTTGAACACACTCGACTCGAGTCGTGTAAGACAATTGCTCCCACAGCCTCGTGGCATGCAGCTTTCTTTGATTTTGGTTTTGATATTGGCTTTTGTTGCCTTTTTCATACCCTGTACGCATGGGTGCAGAGAGGTAGATTAGTTCTGTGTGAATGTAGCTCTTAGGAGACCTAGTCTCATGGAGTATAAATGTTCTTGATCATGAAGTTTAGACTAGTAATGTAATGTAAGGCTGTCTCTGCATATTGTCTGTCTGTACGTCCTACTTTGGACCCGTCGATAACTTATCGATTGGTTAATTCATCTGCCATAGATTCGCCTATCCATCTCTCTTCATCTGTCAGCATAACTCACAATATTAAGATTCCCACTGCTCAGGGTATCTTCGTGTCGATCACTCCCCTTGGCAGCAAACTTTCTTGTGCTTTTTTTCATAGCCTGTAATAACTGTAATTTATTTACGAGCTTTACACACGTTCTGAATACGCCTTTTGCATTGTTTTCCAGCAATTCTTCTCTAATATCTAAATGTACAACTAAACTGTAATTAAACTGAAGCAGTTTGTCCGATTTTCGTTTTCCATTTTCCATTTTTCCAGTAGCCTCTCAGCAGCTGTCAGCTGCAATTTGCCTTGGCAAAGAAAGTGCCAAATTAAGTGTTTAACAAGCCCTAGGCCAACAGCTGAGCTGAGCTCGACCTGAAGAGTCTATCAAAGAGAGTGTATGAGTAACAGAGAGAGAGAGAGAGAGAGAGAGAGAGAGAGAGTGTGTGTGTGATAGACAGAGATTACTCTTTAGAGTTGCCACTCTTAGCTCTTTGACCTGGTCTTTTTGCTGTTTTCGGTTTTAGTTTTCATGGCCAAGTGAATTCAATTAACGAAAACAGTCAAAATAAAAGTCAGCTGCGGTGATTTATTGTGTGAAACTGAAACTTCTTCCTCTGATTAAATTATTTATTTAGCTGCTGCTGCTGTTGCTGGCGTGAAAGTTTCTGCTCAGTGCGCCAATTCAGAGGCTTTGACATTCAGATAATAGCTTGATTAAAACTTGTCATGAGAACGAACCGGCGAGTTTTTACCATGCCAGGCCAAGCCATGAGAGCTCCAATTAAGCGCACTTCTCGATCAATGCGCAGTGTCTGCCACTTTGTGATGGGGTATGCCCGGCCAGTTGGGTTAGTTTGCTCAAGTCCCTCAGAACCTGCTCAGACTGTAATTTGTGAAAGAGTTCTATGATGTCCTTAGTTAATTTAACCTGGTTTACAGCTGTAGATAGGGTTCTCACTCTCCCACCCGTTCAGTTGTCCATGTGAAATCTGGGTTTAATATGTAGGTAAAATGTATTTATTCATATGACATGTATTTATTGTCTTTATATAATTTCTACTACGTGTCTTATCTCTAAACTCTCAGAGGAGCAGCCCTGTCATTTTTTTTTTAACATATAATTAACTAGACTTAGTGACTTCAGAATTTGACTAAACTTTAATTTATTAACAATTTTAGCTCTCTTAAATTTACCCTCGGTAACATTATATAGTTGTTTCTGGAATGTGGTAGATTCACTTATTTATTTATTTTAGTTTATTATACCCTGAACCCATTGAAAATGGGAAATCAGGGTATAATGGTTTTGTTGAAATGTATGTAACAGGCAGAAGGAGGCGTGGCAGACCCCACAAAGTATATATATTCTTGATCAGGGCGACGAGCTGAGTCGATTTGGCCCTGTCCGTCTGTCTGTCTGTCCGTCTGTCCGTCTGTCCGTCNAGTCGCGGTTCGAATCCCGATCGATGCAACTGATGGTAATTTTTTTTTAATTGTTTCAAAATATTTTTATATTTTATTAAATGAGTTTGGTATTTTATTTATATTTTTAAATACATTGAAATTGAAATTTCAGCCATACTAAATGAGCATTTTTATTTGTTGGGTTCAGGGTAGTATCTAGTCGAGCACTCTCGACTAGAATTTTCTTACTTGTTATTTGTTGGGTTCAGGGTAGTATCTAGTCGAGCACTCTCGACTAGAATTTTCTTACTTGTTTTTTAGCTTCTACAGTCATTGAGCGCTCTAACGTAGACTTCAACTGTTAAGCAAGTTTTCAATTACCTAATGAAACCACTTTCTACATTTTATGCGAAGACAGCGTTACTGCTAGTCTTTGCCGAAGTTCTGCCATTGCCTAGGCATGATTTATCCTGTCACAGTCTAAAGCTAGCATTAGTCTGTGCTTAAAATTGTCTTATTGTTTTTTCTGAGTCTACAGAACGAATCTAGCTATTCTCTACAGCTATCTTTAGTGGACATTCGGTAAGTTAGGGTATCTGAGAGTCGTGTTGCCAGTCAGCAGGCAGCTGAGCACAATGTGGCTTGTGTTATGTTCTGCATTTGCATGAAAGTTTGTCGAGCCTCGCGCTGTTCTGGGCTGCTAATCACGTTCTTAATGAAAGTGGATGCTGTGTGGATGCAGTGTTGCCTGTCGACCACTGTTCGTGTTTTCGTTCTGGCCAACTGGAGAGCAGGAAGAAGAAGAAGCAGTAGACGACTATTTGGCTCTTTCACTGGCAATGACCGCCATTTGCTGTGGCTCCATTTGATTTTCACGTTTGGCGATTCGTTTGTTTGTTTGTTTGGACAATTCGCATGCAACGCTTCGCCCGACTCTGAGTGGTTCTGGATGCTAAGTTGTGCTGAATCCGATGCTGAATTCTATATTCTGGCTACCAGTTCTGGCTCGTCTTCTCTGGTTTTCTCTTTTTGCTATTTTTGATTGATAAATATATTATTTATAGCTGCGTTTCGTGTCTGCTCAGCCTCACAGCTGCGATTTTAATTAATATGCTGCTTCCTCCTAGAGAGCTACGTTGGCCCACTTCTGTCCGTCTCCCAATTTGTTTATATGTGTGTGTGTGAGTGCGCGTATCTGTGTGCGGGGGAAACACTTAGCAAATGTAAACAAACTCATAAAGCTGTGAAAATTATTGCAATTGAATTAAGTGCTTCGGAAAAGCAGAAAATACGCTTATGGGAAGTACATAAAGGGAATTGTTTATTTACAATATGTGAGATGTTAGTAGAGATATTAGTAGAGGTGGAGGAGAGGTAAGGGCAGAGATCGAAACAAAGTTCTCTTTGGAGCAAGAGAAAAAGAAGAGGAATATATTCAGGAATTGATTTTATGTGAGTGAATTTCGTGTTTTCAATATATAAGAATGTTTATAGTAAAAGATATAACTAGATGTACTTATATACATATGTTTATATAAAATGTATATTCTCATTCAATATACAAATTGTCTATCTTAGTAAAACTAGACTCTTCAAGAATTTCTTATATAATGAAAACTATTTATTGGAACTTAAATAAGTCTAAGAGGTCTATTCTATGTTTGTTATAATGTTACAAAATTTTATTGAAGGTAAAAGTCTTATAATAAGTCTGAGTAAACTTAATCCGAGTGCAATGAAATCGAATGAGCTTTTTAGTATTTATTACACTTTTTTGCTCTGCTCGATTATTTTGTAAGAAATGTTTTGAAAAACGTGAAACTTCATAAGAGAAACCCGCGCAATGGCTGAACAATTTCTAACCAAAATTCCTAGATAAACCACGAAATGCCAAAAATTCAGATACTTATCTAACACTTGAGACAGCTGAAAGCGTTAGCTAAATTAAATTTATGCTGCCCAGTCATTATGCCATTATGATCTATATGAAGTACTTGCTTATAAGGCAGTCACTCACCTGAACTCTAATCTGGCTCTCTCCCTCTCTCTCACTCACTCTATCTGTATCGTTTAGTCTAACTCTTTCTTTTTCTTTGTCTTTCAGCTCACAAATTTCTTTTGTAAGTGCTTCATTAAAAGTGTGGCAGAACGACAAACGACCACGAAGCGCTTCGAAGGCGACGCAGCAGTAGAAAGAGGAGGAGGAGGAGGAGGAGAACGAGGCGGGGAGCAAGGGGAGGCACGACGACAACAACCTGTATCATCTGCTAAGTGCCGCTCGCGACAATTGTGCGGGTAATTGCGAGTCTTTGAAATTTTTGGTCTCTTTTGATGAGCTTATGCCCTGCTCTGGCTGTGGCATCTTCGATTCGCCTGTCATTGGAAAGTTGCGGCCGCTGCGTGACACACATTTCACGCATTAGACACGAGCCTACCGCCAGCTGGCCGTTGGAGCTGGACTCTGGCGTCGGGAAGACTAGGCCTAGACTGGCTTTTTCTTGGAGCCCGCACTCCCAGCCAATACAGCCGAAGCCCCGCTCCGTCCCCCTCTTGCATTATTCATGCGTGCAACGGCCCGAGGAGGAGCGGCCGCCGCAGTCGGCGCAAAGATGACTCTGCGCTTAGTCAGCATATTGTCTGTGGCATTCATTTCTGTATTGCCCGCACAGTTGGATGCATTTATCACGCAGAATACAGGTGAGTTACGAGACACGAAAAAAGCAACAGCAAGCAGCACGTCACATAATTTAGTGGAAGTCTGGAGGCGCGGAGGGACCAGAGGCAGCTCTAAGCAAAACAGATTTTAGATTGTTCACTTCTTAGCTACTTACTAGCTTAAATTTCAGATAGTAGCCCTATGTAGAGTGACTACTATACCTAGACTAGGTTAAATGAATATAAATATGCTTGGCAGGAGCTCATACTTCGATTACGAATATTCATTTGAATTGCTCGTCGAACTGTTGGCAGTTGTAGCTGAGCTCAGTGAGCGCTGCTTCTATGTAAACGGCAAAGTTCATTGGAAATTCAAAACAATTCATAACTCCGCACAGTTCACATCGTCGTTCTACAGCTGGAAATAGAAATCACTGAAGCTCGAAGAAAAAACTATATATACTCGTATACATACAAATATATGTGTATCTATATACTTTGAAAGGCTTTAACAGCTAAGAGAGAATACGTCCCAAAATGTGGGCAGAGAACTACAATGCGCAACTGAGGCAGGAGGAGCCGTTGCCCTACCGAACCACCGTCTACTTGCCCGTACCCGACCAGAGCGCAGTGGCCCACGCGATGACCACCAGTGTGCTGAGCCTGCCCACCATGGTGCCAGCCCAGGCCTTCGTTGTGGTCACCAGTCCGCAGGGCAATCACATACAGCCCTACGTGCAGCAGCAGCAGCAGCTGGAGCAGCCCATGTGGAGCCTCGAGCAGCCTCCGCCGCAGGAGGAGCAACAGCTGCTGACACCAACTTCCGACTTGAAGGAGAACCAGAAGAACCAATCGAAGAAGTCGCTTACTAAGAAGCTTCACCGCTATGGCGCCTCACCTGAAATGCTCAAGTCGGGCTCGGCCTTCCCTTCCTACTATGCCGATCCGCAAAAGCTATGGCACCCCTATTACCTGAACGAATAAGATGAAGAGATTCAAACGGACCACAAATAAACAGATCTTTAATATTCAGGCGCATACCAGATTAGAGTATTCCCCAGATTCGAGTACTCTTCTGTAATCCTCCTGTCTTGAACGTTGTGTGTGAATAAACTTGAGCATATTGAAAATCCGCTTTAGCTGTTATTGCCAGTAGAAACTGTAGAATTGCGATTGTTCCATGGATGACGAATAATAGAGAGAGGGAGAGAGAGAAAGAAAGAGAGAGAGAGAAAGAGAGAATATATGGTATTGATAGGAAATAGAATCAGCCCAACTAGATTCGAATTAGATTCACGGATATGTTAGGAAGTATTCCTTCAAGCAAATATCAGAAGCTATAGGCAATTGCAGTTTCAAATAGGTTAGACAGTCATTCCTTAAGATATATGTATATGCCAGATCAGTTATCAGTTATCTTATGAATATTATCAACGAATAAGCCTTGCTCATATTTTGTCAATCCCTTTCATCTCCCGCTCCATCTACCATTCTTGACAGGCTGTCATCACAATGGCACTTGGTATGCTGACAAGTCGGTGGTGCCCAGCATGGAGAAGTGCCTCAATTGTCAGTGCAATCGCAAGACGCTCGTCTGCCGGCTGAAGGTCTGCCCGGAAATGCCGATGCCGCCGCCTCGGGGCTGCGTGGTCGTCCAGCGGAAGAACAGCTGCTGTCCCTACTTGTCGTGTGCTCGCTTGGACGCCTTCTACAAGATACCCACCAAGCGTCGCATCATCGCCTACCTGGATCACTACGAGCGGGAGTCGATCGATCGCGTGGTCAACGACAACATGCTGCAGAGACGTTCCGATGACTCCGACGTCGACCTGTTGGGTAAGCTTGCACTTTAGCTGGCAAGGATCGCACCTGACCTATTTTGCTCTTTCCTTAGTGTGCGTGAAGAATGGAACTGTGTACAAGTCGGGATCGGCGATGTCCTCATCGAATCTGTGCAGCTATTGCTACTGCATTGGTAAGTGGAAGAAGACGAGGAGAATAGCTATGGAGAGCTGGGGATAGTGAGTGGGAACAGCTGGCGGGAACGCCTATTGGGAGTAGTACAGCTTGTCGGGTGATCATAATAACTAAAGTTTCACTCTCTCTTTCTCTCTCATCGACAGGTGGCAACGAAAAGTGTGTCAAGCCCAAGTGCATGCTGCCCGTGGACGGGTGCAAGCCCATATTCGTGGACTCCACCTGTTGCCCGGTGCGCTACGACTGCAGCAGCAAGACCTCTGGCAAGTCCTCGCAGGAGGTGCGCTACCGGAAGAACTCGAATAAGCACTTCCAGCGCATGGCGCAGCGCTTGCAGCGGAACCGCGGCTGCACCGTGGGCGCCCAGTTCTATGCGGAGGGCCAGAAGATGCGATCGGACGCGGATAAGCCATGTGACATCTGCTTCTGCATCCGCGGCACGCGCCGCTGTGCGCCGAAGAAGTGCGCGCCGGCCCTGAAGAACTGCATTCCGGTGGTGCCCAAGGGTCAGTGCTGCCCCTCCAGCTACGACTGCGGCAGCCAGCGGGACTATCGCCGCTCGCAGAGCTCTCGCCAATTCAACCTGTACAATCTGCTCTTTGGCAAGGAGGAGCAGGAGGCGGAGGCGGCAGCAGCTGCTGCCCTGATACCGCAAAACACCATGGCCGAGCACTACCCTCTCGACCGCCATCCCACTGAGCCACCCGTGGGCGATCCGCTGCAGGCCAGCAGCGAGAAGAGCATCTTCGATACGCTGCGCGAGGGCCTCGAGTTCATCGATGGCAACAACAACCAGATGCTGGCCAATAACATGGACTTGGTGGGCAGCACACCCACGGCCAGTCCGCTGATCTCTGACCCGAGCAGCACCACAGAGCTCAGCTTCCTCGACCTGCTGCTCGGACCCAGCACAGAGACCGAAGAGCCCATAACGCCAGAGGCCACAACCGAGAAAAAGAAGCCCATATCCTGGATGGACATACTGCTTGGACCCGACGAAGAGGAGCCAGCTGTTGCACTCGAGCCGATTGCGGCTGTAGAAGCCAGCTCTACTTTGGCACCGGCACCGGCACCACCCACGAGCAGCACCACTGAGCGCAGCATTGAGCGGATTGCAGACGATTTCGGAGACCGATGGATCGAGGGACAGTATGCGGTGGGTGAACTGCCAGCGGAAGCCCAGCAAGAATGGGCCGGACCCACTGAAGCCCCACCGACCAGCACCACAGCTCAACCACCCGATCTATTCAACGTGCTGCTGGACGGACTTTCAGTCATGCTGAACGACAATGCCACCAGCACCACTTCGACAACCACAACGACAACAACAACAACGAGCACCACTACGACTAGAAGGCCCTTTAGCACACACGCACCGCCCATGTTCCGTCCACTGCCGAGCAGCAAACCGCACCACACGCGCATCAACTCCAAGCTGGCTAATCTCACAGTGACCCCACCGATGGTTGTGGTCACCAGCAAATACGGTCAGCCCGTCACCTATCGGACGATGCCAAGCAAGGGCACCACCAGCACCACGAGCACCACCACAACAACAACCACAACCACAACCACACCCAAGCCACTTCCAGTGAATGTTACTATCTCAAAGACCACAACTACGCATAGACCCTCAACAACAAAAACAACAACAACAACACCAAGAACAACTACCAAAGCAAAGCCAAAAACCACCAGACGCACGACAACAACCACAACCACAACCAAACCAACAACAACCACAACGACCAGAACAACAACCACCACCACCACAACGCAACCACCAACAACTACAACCACGCCAAAGCCTACAACCCCAACGCCTCGCACCACCTTCCGACCCACATTCAAGCACAAGCCAACCCCAGCATACATCACTAGCACCACTAAGCCACTGATCATCAAAACGAATCCCACCATTTTGGAAGTGGATCCCTTGGACGATGCAGACAGCACTGCGCCCACGCTGCCGCCCAGCTTGCCGAACCTGAAAATCATACCGTTTTTGCCCACGGATGCTGTGGATACGAAACCACCAATACAACCACCCGAGGGCTACAGCAGCCACAATTACTATCAGCAGCCAGCGGGTCTGCTTGTCTCGCAAATCGCCTCCGACAGAGTGGACAGCGAGTACGATGTGACCTACGTGGATCAAGCACAGCACGGCATCAGCTTCAACAACAACAACAACCACCACAACAACAACCACAACAGCGATCAGGCTGCCTACAAATACAAGTTCAATGTGGAGGTTCCCGCTGTGGCAGCCCCACCTGAGCCAGTGGTGCACGTCATTGGCAGCGCCGACTACGTCAAATATGATTTCAATGAGCAGGTGGTGCAGCCACCCGTGCACAGTGGTTTCTCACCACCCACCGAGACGGAGGGCGGCTTCATGCCCAAGGAACCGCTCGTCATCGATGGGGAAGTGCTGCAGGAACATGTCACATCGAACGTCCTGCTGGGCGATAATTATCACGTCACGCAGCATATTATCGATATAACGACAGAGAGGGAGGATAACGACACGGCTTCAATCGGTGAGTTTGATTGAGCGATTGACTGGTAGAATGGCATCTATATAGAAGTATTTAGAAAGGAAAAGGAATTGATATTTGATTAGATTGTCGAAGACATGTAAATTTCTCAACTGTTTGATTCTCTGGCTGATTGAGTGATTGACTGATTGAAGTGTCCCGCAAAACTCCAGTTGTAGGAAAAGAGAAGTACTTGAATATCCCATTGACTGATTGGCTGACTAATTGAATGATTGATGATCCCCAATGCATAGCTCAAGCTGAATAGAATAGTATTCAATTATTTCTCTTATACTAGATATCGAGTTCCTCTTGACCTCTTTATATCTTGTCCCTCTCTCACTCCATCTTCAATTGCTCATTCATTTACTTCTACTCTTTTTGCCCCGCAGAGATCACAACGCCTGATCCCTTCAAAGATGTTATACACACGGAGAGGCCACCAAATCTCGATGTGCTGATTGGAGACAAGCTGCAGAAGAAACCGGCAGAGCAGCTGCAGCAGCAACATATCGAGAGTGTCACCTACAGCATCAGCCACTCTTCCGGCAATAAAACTGCAGCAGCAGCAGCAGCAGCAGCAGCAACAACAACAACAACGGCTGCAACTACAACCACAAAACATACATCGCTGATAGACAAAAATGAGATAAACAAACTGGATGAGCTGCTGGAAGAGCTGTTGGGCATGAGCCTGCCTACCAAGCCGCACACCAGCAGCAGTAGCAGCAGCAGCAGCAGCAATAGTACAGTGCCGCCTTTTAAAACATTGCCAACAGCAGCAGCAGCAGCAGCAGCAGCAACAGATGCAACAACAACTACTGCGCGCCCACCTGCCACACCCACCGCAGCACGGGGCCACAAGAAGGGCAACAAAACAAAGCCGAAAACATCGAGCAATAGACGCAACCAGACAGCAACTGCAACGGCAAAGCCATCCCGCAACAAAGGTCAAGCGACCACGCGCCGAACACCCGCCAGCAACAGCAACAACAACAGCAACAACATCAACAACAGCAACGGCAACAGCAACATTAACAGGAACAACTCAATGGGCAGCACAGCGCAAACAAGTGCAAAAACCAAAAACACGCCAGCAACAGTAACATCAACAACGACATCAACAGAAGCAACTAGCAGCCCCACAACAACAGCAGCAACAACATCAACAACAACAGCAGCAATTGTTTCCACCACAGTGCATCCATTTTTAATGTCACCATTCGACAAATTGCCCTTCATGGACACCAGCTACGAGGTGCGACATCAGCAACAGCAGCTGCAACAACAGCAACAGTTGCAGCAATTTCATCATTATCAGCATGCGCCAAGCAGCAGCAGCACAACAACAACAACAACAACAGCAACACCAGCAGCAGCAGCAGCAGCAGGAGGAGGAACGGCAACTGTTGCTGGGGGCGAGGGGCTAATGGATCCTGCGGGCATACTAAAATTAGCCGGCTGCAACATTTACGGCCGCATGTACCGAGTGGGTCGCATTATTGTGGAGCTATCCAATCAATGCCTCGAATGCAAATGCACCGAGGTGGGCGTCAAGTGCGGCCCATTAGACTGTTAGTTTAAGCCACGCCCCCAGCCCTTCCTCCGCTAAAAATCTCTGCGAGTGAGTGTGCGTGAGTCTGTGTATGTGTGTGTGTGTGTGTGTGACTGTTTAACATTTAAGCCAACTCTTTTATTTGCCCATTTCCGTTTTAGCTCTGAACTAATGCATTTAGTATATAGACTAAGTTAATCTAATTTTAATATGCATACATATAATATACATAATAATTACATTTACATATATAATATACAGTTGTGTTCATGCAAGTAGTAGTGCTGCCCTATGGAAGATTTGAACCAAATAATTCCCATTGAAAACTCTCAAAATTCGTTTCAAATTGTACTGTGTTTATCATAAAAATTGAGTGCTACTTTTTCCATGAGCACAGCTCTATTCATAGCTCTTTATAGGTACCCTTAACACTAAGTTGTATTATAGACGTAGTTCTCCACGCCTTAAGTCTAACCAAATCTTGAACTAACTGCAATGCATTTAAAAATCGAAAAAGAAATTTAAGTTTAAAATTTTGAAAAAAAAGAAGATAATAATTAATTATATTAAAACACATATTTCAAATATTTAAATTTTATTATAAAAAATGCATACCTTATATACATTTAATTACTTTTAAAAAACATATACATATAAGTAACTTTTATTTATTTATACATTTCAAATTTGAACAGTAAATAAAGAGTTATAATCTCTAAAATTCTTATAATAATAAATTTGGATTCTTCTGTATATGTCTCGCTCTTCTGTCTCTCTCTCTCTCTCTCGTTCTGTCTCTCTCTCTCTCTCTCTCTCTCTCTCTCTCCGTCATTCCATCTCTAATTATTTATTACTGTTCTTAAAGGTTTTATAAATTCATGCTGTTGATATGATTGATATACGAAATTCATTTTCTAACCTAAACAAAAAACTTATGGACTACCCTCGTTCATACAAATCTATTGGAATTTAGATCACATTTTCTGATAACTGATTCGATTAACCTGAAAACTATTCAATTGATTCATTGAGAATCCACCAATTCCACCAAATCAGTCTCGACGTTAGTGAGTTATGAGCCACTGCTAAAAATATATTGAAGCTAATTGCACTGCTAAATGAAAATGATCAATGATCCAGTTCAGATGGAAATAAATATAAAAACATAAATATGTAATTACCCTTGCCTTATGCATTATTCCACCTAATTAGCTGAGTCATAAGATTGAGTCTATAAAATCGATTCGATGGTGTAAAAATAACACTTTACCAACTGAAGCATAGAAATTTATGGATGCCCTTAAGAGTCAATAGCTTGGCCATAAAAGCCAAGCGTGAATACTGCCAGAAATTTATTCGATGAATTTGATTTGGCTTTTTCCGGCGGATTTGAGTTGAATTGCAAATGTTGAGACCAAGTTAAGGCAGATCTAATCGAATCTGGAATCGATCGATCAGAGTTAATTACAAACTTGGTGTTTCCGAAGAGATTCGCTTGTAAACGAGAAAGCCGCATATCAATCCGGCCACGCCCCCACCCAAATGGGCCTCCAGACTGATGCGCGGGTTGCGATTGTCATTGAGGCAGAAGTGATAAACCGTGTATGCCACATTGCTGACGAACAAGATCAGGAGGACGGCGACGCGCCAAGTGCGATGCGACAATTTCGAGAAATTCTATGGGAAAATAATAGAAAACCCAAATCAAAAAGTTAATGAAAAAAGTGAATAACGAAGTAACAAGGTCGGCCATTGCCGACTGCGCGATACGCTGTTCACAGGGCTGGAAAAACTGGCCAATGGTGGAAAGCCGATTGTGCATTAGTTCAATATGTATGAAGTGGCAGCTTGGTGACTGTCCAACTGTAATTAGAGATTTCAAACAAACCAATATACCCGTTAGCCGCATGTGAACAGTGTACGACAAAGTAGAAAACAAATTAAACTGCGGTTGCATTCGATTTAGCCACAGTTGACTGACCAAAACCAGGTGGGGCACATGACTGCACAGCATTGCATAGACGCCCGCCGATGCGCCAATCAGCGCGAGCCCCGGCTGCAGACTGGCGTTGGCCAGGCCGCCACAAAGGCCGCCCGTTAGATAGACGACGGCCAAGCGCCAGTGACCTTGCTCCACTTCCAGGTAGACTCCAATGAAGCACTGAACCCAAAAGAACAGAAGAAAACCAAAAAGCATAAGATGCATGGCTCAGTGTGTGGTGGCTGGGACCCACCTGCAGGCAGATGTTGATCCACAGGTGCCAGAGATCAGCGTGGAGCAGCATGTATGTAAAGAAGCGCCAGTACTCGTGCCCCAGCTTCGGCTTGTATATGAGGCGCCGCTGCATGCACGCGTCGGCAATCAGATACAGCAAGATCTGTGAATGGCAGAAGAGAAGGCGACAAGTCAGACAGATGAGCGACCTTAAACGATAGACATTAAGACATTACACTGGGCTACAAGACTGAGGGGCGACAGTGCGAAATGTTCCAGATTGAGATCTTGGCTATGACTCCTCAATAAGATGAAGGTACTGAAGAGCTAAGAGATTGCATGAAGATGAAGATAGACAGATAGACATATGTAATGTAATGTAATATCTAATTTGTATATTGCATGCTTGATGTATTTCAAATAAGGATGTCAATAATTCATAGGCACATCTCTGGAGTACAAGATCCTTTAGTAATTTCACACCTTTAACACTACGCGAATCTATACTTAAAGTAACAGGTTTAGTACTTTCCCGTTTACCGTACCCCACTTGATACCGTATCTCCACATTTCTACATTCCACAAATATTTGTATGTATATATTTTGAGCTTTACTTAGCTAATTCTTTTGCATTTTATAAATTTTATAATTCATAAGCCGATCTTATCTAAATATTTACTTTTAATCTATGACATTTTGTGTCTATAGCTCTCTAATTGGTATTCATCGTGGGTTGCTTGGGTTTTGGCACACATACCTAAAGCCAAGTTGCTGGAGATGGCTTATTTTAGATAGCTAAACGAAATCGAACTGTCAAATTGATTTTTTAATGTCTACTCAATATACTTATATTTTCCATAAATATATAATTTTTCTTGGTTACACTCCACTCTCCACTCTTTTATTGTACTTTCTATCCCACTTTGTTATCCCGAGAGAAAGAGAGACAACTGACACATATCAGCTGCACACGCTCTGCTCAGTGCACTTTGTAGCACAGTGTAATCGATCAGAATGTTACAGCAACACAAAATGATGTCAGGCCATCTGTCACTTTCGCTCAGCTTCGCATCAGCCGAGTGTTGGACGTCCAAGTGTGAGTGCCAAGAAGCTTCAACACATTGTGCTGCCTGACAAGGCAGCAGCAACAACAACAAAACTATGCCAAATCGGTGCAACATGCATCACACCAAATATGACAAATGCCAGTTGCAACAATTTGGAGTCAACATCGAAGCTAACTGAAAAAGGCAATAGCCAAGTCGATTGTGATTGTGATTGTGATTGGGATTGTGGAATGGGAATTGGAATTGGAATTGAAGTTTACCAAATTATGTAATGTGAAATGGAATATCTTAAGCCTAGCCCAGAAACAATTAAGAGAGCTCAAAGCGAGCGCCTATGAACAACTGATACAAATAATGAGTTATAAAACAAGAGACGACAAATGGCAACTGGGGCGACTTTTCTAATAGGGAAACACTTGTGCGACTTCTTCAGCGACTGCGTGAGTGGCTCAGTGGGTGAGTGCAACCACTTGCACTGCAAACCACATTCGCACTTGCTGCAAGACAGCAGCCAGCCGGGCAGAGATCAGCTGACATTCGTGAAATCCATTGGAGCAGTCGGTCCTCTAGGCTAATTGGAAAGAGAATGAAAGCAAAGTAGCTGAGCTAACAAATGCAGATGCAGATACATAGGTAGAGTGGGTTATATATTAAGAAACTAATTAAAAAATAAAAATATACTAACTATTTTTATTTTCTTACTTATTCATTGGGGTTATCGGAATACCTCGTATGGCTTAATAAATAAAAAATTAAATTAAATTAAAAAAAAAAAAAAAACTTATTCATAAAAATATCCTACTTAGACTAGAATTACACCCAATTGTTTATGCAATTCGTATATTAATTAATTTCCACTTATAACCACATTTCCCTAGTTTTCTTAGCAACTTCAAATATTTCTTTTGAAATGCAAGAAGTTGCGCATATGAAACGATAATAAATGGGAATCTGATTCACTAAGGTGAATCATATGAGGAGGTTAATTGTTAAATATTGTACTAATTGCACGACCTTAAATACCATAAATAAAATACGAAATTAACGAAATTATCGATTGCCTGATAAAAGAGCTGATAACTGCGAAAGCGATTTGAGTCATTCGCACACATTTCTTTTCTTTGTTTGCTTTTTCTTTTTTTTTTTGTAAGTCTAAAAATAAATCTATGACATATCCTTGACATAAACAATAAATAGGCAAACGATTCGAGATGAAAGTGAAAATAAAAAGTGTCTGGAACTGTATTTCAGGCGGAGAACGATAAGCGACGATAAGCATTACGCATACGTCACGTCAGCCAACGGACTGGCTGTCTATCTACCTCCACAAAGGACATCAGCAGTAGGAACCAGGGCAAGCGGCAAAGACGTCGTCGGTGCGATGAATGCGTCGACGTCGAGTCATCAATGGAACTCTTTTGCAGCGGCGCTCGCGGCTCTGACAGCAGCCACAGGCTGGCATCCTTTATGTTCGGTTTGCTGTCAGTGGGCTGCATTGATATTATACACACGTAAGCACTTTTCTGACCGATAGCACAACTGCTTAGCAATATACAATACAAACGGAACGTCCGCTGCGCTTGGCACTTAATTCGCGACTACAGAGACCCCCCATCACAATACAATACAATAACCCACACATACACACACAAACATATCGCTTTTGTTGCTGGCTACTTCTTACCATCGATCGTTTGATCAGTCATTGGAAGCTTTGACCACGACGCATATCCAAAACCCAATTGCATACTTTTAAGCGGAAACTACATTTCTGTTCGGTTTGTGTCTTGGCTAAGCAAATGTAAACTAGACTTGCTCACGATTTTTTTCTGTATTTTAGACAGATATTGTAAAACTATTATTAAATATATTTAATTGGCTTTTTCTGGCTAGACCGACTGAGAATGTCCTGGAATTTAAATTATTATTCTGATACTAATATATCAGTATTCATGATGAGTCAACTGAGGTAAGTCCAGACCTAATTCTGTCTATTTAAATAAATGTTCATATATTCTATAATTTAAGATATATATAAATAATTTAGAATTAATTCAATGCAAATTGTATAATTTAAAGATCAATAAACATTATTTTTGCAATAAACAGTCACACGGTGTTTTCATTAACAGAGCTTTTTTGGTGGCAATTAATGTTCAAAAATCAACGGTCAAAGAAATTTACTTTGCATATTATCATTGCCTAACTTAAGGTATAAACTATAAAAAATATTGCTGTATGACTTAGGGAGCTGCTGATGTGGCCGTTGGGACCTAAATTTGAACGGCGCTTTACAGAAGTATCAGGCGAACAGAAATGGCTAGCAGAGTGAAAAGTGTTAGTTAACAGTAACCTAACAGAATTATGTTAAATAACAGTGTTATGTTAAGTCGCTGTTAATTAACAGTACCGTCACTGTTAACTAACAGAATTCTGTTAGTTAACATATGTGTCACTGTTAACTAACAGCATTATGTTAGTTAACATAGGCGTCACTGTTAACTAACATACTTATGTTAAGTTAATGTACATTAACAGTGCACTGTTAACTGCGTTTTTTCACCCTACTTGTCCTTTCTGTTCACCTGGTACATCACCAAGATTACCGTGCAAATTTTGATCCCAAGGCGCTGCAACTCATGTAATGCTGAGCCAGCAATGCTGATAGATGACTGTTATCTTAAAATAACTATACCGATATTGACCTTACTTCTTAATACGTGTTTTTATCCATGTTTATTATAGACAAAATCAAGATTTATTTTAACAGTTCATGTTTAGATATTTCTACTTAAGTAAATGCCAGAAGCAGCTGTAGCTTTAGAGTAAAACATTTCATAGACAATCATAACTCAAATTGTTCTGTAGCTCGCAGACATATTTCCGACTTGTGGCATCTGACAGGCAGCCATTGGCAATTGCTTTCAACATCAACAACATCAACAACAGCAGCAGCAACAATTGCATCAACAGCAGCAGCAGCAGCAACAACATCCTTGGCATTTGACATTTTGGCCAAATCAAACAGAAGTCCAATTGCCAGCAGCAAAGTTGCAGTTCCAGCAACAGCAACAACAACTACAACAACATGAAAACTCACAATGTTTACACGAGCAATTTGTTGTTGTTGCTGGCGTGGTGAAAAGCTTCGTCGGGCAGAGCAAACGCCGCTCTTCTGCTCTTCTGCTCTTTTCCTCTTTTGCTCTGGTGGGCAGTCGCTTGGGCTCGCGCTCTCGGGCTGGGCACGTGGCACGTGGAGCAGCGCCTGTCAGCAGCCAAGCGCTTTATGAATGGCAACAATGAAATATTTATATAAGCCAAGCGAAACCAAATCAAACTCATTAAGGACCTCCCCCTCAGCTGGAGCTGATGCTGAAGCTGAAGCTGAAGCTGAAGGCTACGTGCCAAAGCAATCCCTGCTGGACTTTGAAAATGTTTGGTTTTTCTCTTTTTTGAATGGAAATGCACAGGGCGATACTGAAGTGGATGAATGAGTGAACTTGGACTGTGAAGCTTACTCCATGCATAGCCCAACTAGCATTGGGGCGCTGCTCTTAGCCCTTCCCTGATAATGGACTAGTTAAAGCAAATAAACGCTTAAAACCTTTTAATTCATTTTATTTGGTTTTGCGAAATGTTCAACACGCTGTAGATCCGCCTTTCCTTCCGCGTACCCACTCATTCGTCTATTTGTCTGTCCGTCCTTCCGCCCATCCATCTGTTCATCCTTTCCTCCTTCGTCTCGTTACCCCCTTTCTTAAAATGTATTAAGATTTTCCCGATATGCTCTACGTCTTCCAATCCTTTGAGGCTAGAGCTATATATACTTTGATTTAATATGAACAGGTATTGAGTAGTCGGTGCCACCCATCTGCAGCATTCCTTCTTGTTTCCTTTAGTTAATTTGTAAATTTTCACATTTTCTCTTCGCGCTTAGCTCGTTGTTAGAGTTCTTATCGGGGTTGTCGTAATGCCCCTAATGGACGCCGATAAGCTGCTGGCTGAGTCTATGGAAAATCGAAGTCAAAATCAACATGCATTTTCCTTACATTTTCTTGGCAGGCTGAAGTTTCCCCAGCTTCCTCTCATTATGGTTGCGGGCTCGAAAAAAACGTTTAGGCAAATCTTGGCAGCAAATCTCTCGCAAACAAAGGGCGTATGAGCTGTGGGCGTGGCACTTGAATGTTTGCCACTTGATTGAGTGACTAAACCGTCGCCACTTGGGACACCCGAGACCTAGCTGAGGGCTGTTTGCCGTAGGCGTGGCACTTGAGTTTATGAGCGCTATTTTATTGATAACGCCAAGGGGAGTAAATAACAAGTAAGAAAGCTCTAGTCGAGACTGCTCGACTAGGAGATACCCTGAACCCTCTAATCTGATAYTCTAATCATTCTGCACTTTTRTGCACACATACATAYARATGCATCCACACGCACGCATAAGCCTGCGCTCTGCTAACTGCGCAGTAAGCAGCGACTGCGCTTGGGCTGCGCTGCAGTGTGGGCAATATTATGAGAATTTATTTGTCGAATAATTTCTTTTGTAAACATATGATCTTAATGAAACTTTCAGAGTGTAATCATATGGTAAATATGTGTGTACATTCCAAAGCACAAGTCTCTAGTACTTGAAATGCGTTTTTTACAAATTGGGGGAGAAGGGGGCGTGGTATCCAAAATCTGTAAATTACAAAATCTTTGTATCGATTAACTTTATATACAACACAAATTTGAAGACTCCAGGTCTAAAANGGTCTAAAAATGTTCAAATTAGGCTAAAAAAACAAAATCAATTTTTCGATTATTCTCGATAAAAAAGTTATCGGACGATTTATCGAAAAAATAAAGCAAACTCGTACTGCGTATGGTACACACGAGTATGCATGCCAAATTTCAGCTCTCTAGCTCTTATAACTTCTGAGATCGACGCACTCATACGGACGGACGGACGGACGGACGGACGGACGGACGGACGGACGGACGGACGGACAGACGGACAGGGCTATATCGACTCAGCTCGTCACGCTGATCAAGAATATATATACTTTGTGGGGTCTGCCACGCCTCCTTCTGCCCGTTACATACTTTTTCACAAAACCATTATACCCTGATTTCCCATTTTCAATGGGTTCAGGGTATAAAAAGGGCTGGAGAGGGAGTACGAGGCTAGGGACGAAGGAAGGCGATAGAGGGACAGTGGGAGTGGAAGCATCATAAAACGCAACGTCTGATTAGCCAAAGAATTGGGCGTGTTTATGGCCAGAGCAGAGCAACTGCAATAACAATGAGTGAGATGAGGCAGCATCTGGGATTATGTCGAAATAACAAAATAGACCGAAGGATGCTGTCAAAATTTAGAGATGCAAATGATAGAGTTAGAGAGCTAGAGAGGAATTAGTAGAATGAGGAGGAGCAAGGGAGCAAGGGAGGAGGAAAGATGGAACAGGCGCAGGAGGGAACGGAGTGGGAGTAGCTGGAGGCGGTGAGGCTAAGGTTAAAATTAAGCTGCGGCTAGCTGAGCAAGTGACTAAATATGCGTGTGTATGTGTGTATGTGTGTGTGTGTGTGTGATATGTATATGTGTGAAACATATATATGTGTATATCTGAGTATATGTGTGTGACTAACATATCTGTATGTATGTCTGCTGTAGACTAACTTGTTTGTGTGTGTGTGTGTTGTGTTTGTATTTGTGCGGTCTTAGCGCGTGCAGAGGCATAAGCTTCAAAGCAGCTGAATAAGATGTGTGTGTAAGCAGCTCCCCCACCTCTCGCCATATACATATCTATATACATACATACGCGTGTGTGTGTGCGCGCCGTGTATATGCTGTGCGTGCCTCAGTTGCAAACTCAATTATTAACTACGCGTAGGCAAAAGGCAACACCTTCAGTGCGTGGCGTCTTCGCCAGTAACTTCATTCTCAACTATGGCACAGCCACGCCTACTCGCACACTAGCCCTCCATCTGCCTTCCCCCCCCCCCCTGTTCCCCTTCACTCTGTGCAGCTGTTAGCTCTTGGGAAATTTGCATTTTATCATCCATGTGTGGGGTCCTAATGCTGCAAGGGGGCTTTGCTTTTAATTGGGTTTCTTTGGCTCCGCTCTAGAATTAACGCCATTTGCTGTAGCCGTAGTTGTTGTAGTTGCTATTGCCGTTGTAGCTGTAGCTGCTATAGTTGTAATCTTGGGCTGAGGCTGCGGCCGGGCCGTAACTTATAATTGTTTAATTAGCAAGTAAAATACGGTGCAAATATGTGGAAATTATTGGATCAACCACACAGAACCATGCGAAACTCAAGCGAAACAATGCAAATTCCCCGTAGGAGTATTTTCCGTAACGATGTGAAAATTCAATTAACATGCAGAGCACTAGAAATGTTAAACAAAATCATAAATGAAACGAGCATTAGATTGGATTAGCTCAAATCACTGACTAATGAGTAAATTTTGAAATGTTTATTAACTGCTGTATCAGATCGGAGTGTTTACAGTTGAGTTTACAGTTAGTAATCAAGTGAAAAAGGATAAGGAGTAATCAGAAATGAAACACAGTAAAATTGCTCAAATGAAAACCCAATAAAATGTATTTATTGGGTGATAGAAATTAAGAGACTGGCAGAGTGGGACGAGCAAAGTCGTAGACTTTTATAATAGTCATTTATTTTTCATATTTACAGTAACTATACAGTACTATAAAGTAAAATATATATTAACAGATCTATTATATATTAT